GGCAGAATGGCAGAGGGAGAGAGCGAGCTCTTCCATCTGCTGGTTCACGCCACAAATGCCCCGCAGCAGCCAGGGCTGGCCCAGGCTGAAGTCAGGGAGCTGGATCAGAGCCACAGAGCGGCCAGGACTCAGGCTGGCATCTGAGATGGGATGTGGGCGTCCCTTAACCTGCTGTGCCACATGCCTGCCCATTGTTTCTGCTTTTGCTTTTTCAAGCTACTGATTGTATGCCAGCCTTTATCAGAGGATCTTTTTGTTAGGTTTATTTATTTGAAAGAGTTACAGTGAGAGAGGAGAGAGATCTTCCATCTGTTGGTTCACTCCTCAAAGGAGAGAGCAGGCCAGCGCCGCGGTTCAATAAGCTAATCCTCCGCCTGCGGCGTCAGCACACCAGGTTCTAGTCCCGGTTGCTCCTCTTCCACTCTAGCTCTCTGCTGTGGCCCGGGAGTGCAGTGGAGGATGGCCCAAGTCCTTGGGCCTTGCACCCGTATGGGAGACCAGGAGAAGCACCTGGCTTCTGGCTTCAGATTAGCGCGGTGCGCCGGCCACAGCAGCCATCGGAGGGTGAAACAACGGCAAAGGAAGACCTTTCTCTCTGTCTCTCTCTCTCACTGTCCACTCTGCCTGTCAAAAAAAAAAAAAAAAGAAGAAGAAGAAGAAGAGAAGAGAGCACTTCCGTCTGTTGATTCACTCCCCAAATGGCCACAACAACCAGGGCAGGCCAAAGGTAGGATCCAGGAGCTTCCTCTGGGTCTCTCATGTGGGTGCAGGGGCCCAAGGACCTGGGCCATCCTCTGCTGCTTTCCCAGGCCATTAGCAGAGAGCTGGATTGGAAGTGGAGCAGCCAGGACTCGAACCAGCGCCTATATGGAATGCCAGCACTGCAGACACTGTGTTAACCTGCTATGCCACCGTACTGGCCCCATCAGAAATTCTTTAGGATGGCAGTTCTCAAACTTCTGACAACATTTGAGTCTAGGGGCTGCCGGACGCTTGCCCGCGAGAGTCCAGCATAGTAACGACACGATCGCTGCTTACTCGGTTCTCATGGAACTTTATTCATCCAGATGCAAGGCGAAAGAAAAGAAGCCAAGCCCTCATCCCCCTACACAATCCTATCCCCATTATATACCCTAGGTTCCCCTAGCAGGACGCTCCCAGCCAATGGCAAGTCTGTTCACATGCAGGCCATGCAGGCACAGTCCAATCAAGTTGAAGGGCACATAGTGCCTCAGGTCGAAAGTTCATCTTGCTCCATGGGGTTGTTTGTGTCTTCAGGACATCCTGTGGTTAGCACTTCCTTGACTTCTTTTTCTCAGCAGCCAGCACTTCCTTAACTAGTTTTGCACAAGTTGTTACAACAGGCCATGCAAACAGCAAAGTGAGGAAGTTCCCACAGGTGGCCAGCCTGTGGTTCCCCACAAGGGGCTCCTTTATATATTTATATATATAATATATATATTTAAGATTTAGTTATTTGAAAGAGTTACATAGAGAAAAGGAGAAACAGAGATCTTCCATCTGCTGCTTCCCTCCCCGTAACATCCAGGGCTGGCCCAGGCTGAAGCCAGGAGTCAGGAACTTCATCTGGGTCTCCTACGTGGGTTTCAGGGGCCCAAGCACTCAGGCTATCTTCTTCTGCTTTCTCAGGTCATTAGCAGGGAGCAGAATCAGAAGTGGAGCAGCTGGGACTTGAACCAGCAGCCATATGAGATGCTAGTGTGGCAGGCACTATATCTGTACACCACAACATCGATCCCCCCTTTATACTCTTATTTTTAAAGATTTATTTATTTTTATTTGAAAGGCAGAGTTACAGAGAGGCAGAGGCAGAAAGAGAGGTCTTCCATCCGCTGGTTCACTCCCCAGATGGCTGCAACAGCCAGAGCTGTGCCGATCCAAAGCCAGGAGGCAGGAGCTTCTTATGGGTCTCTCATGCAGATACAGAGCCCCATGGACCTGGGCCATCTTCCACTGCTTCCTTCCCCAGGCCATAGCAGAGAGCAGGATCAGAAGTGGAGCAGCCAGGACTCAAACCAGCACCCATATGGGATGCCAGCACTGCAGGCGGCAGCTTTACCAGCTACGCCACAACAACGACCCCATCCGTAAGGATTTTATAAGCACAACACTAGAAAACATTGCTTGGTCTATTTGTGATTCCACGTATCTCCCATGGCAGCCCAGAAAACTTCTCCACCAAGGTAGCAGAGGAAGAGAATCGTTTTTGGGGCTGGTGCTGTGACACAATAGGTTAATCCTCCACCTGCAACACCTTGCAGCACCATCATCCCATATGGGCGCCGGTTCAAGTCCTGGTTGCTCCTCTTCTGATCCAGCTCTCTGCTGTGGCCTGGGAAAGCAGTGGAGGATGGCCCAAGCGCTTGGGCCCCTGCACCTGCGTGGGAGACCTGTAAGAAGCACCTGCATCCTGGCTTCAGATCGGCACGGCTCTGGGGAGTGAAGCGGCGGATGGAAGACCTTTCTCTCTCTCCCTCTCACAGTCCATAACTCTGCCTCTCAAATAAATAAATAAAATATTTTTAAAAGGTGAAAATGTAAGTTATAAAAAAAGAGAGAGAGAGAGAATAGTTTTCTTTGTGGAATAAGCACTAAAACCAACATGTGATGTCCCTGACAGGCGATTGGCTGACAGCCTGCAAAGACCAACCTCGCCCATATTCTATGGATCCTGGCAGAGACTGCAGCCACACACTTCTCATACCTTTAGAACAAGTGTTAGTTTTGCATCGTGGAGCAAGGCACCACTGAAGTGAAGTGTCCCACAGCAGATAACTGGTGACATGACAGTTTTGTTTGTTTTTTTAATGAGCCATCATGCTCTGGAGAAGTAAAAAGGATGCTAACAGTGGCCAGGAACCTAAAAATGGGGTGAGGTATGGGGGAAGGTTTCCTTTAGGAAGCGCTAACTCAGCTCAGACTGGGAGGCTGCCAGTTGCGAAGTCCCTACTGCTAAAGAGAGCCAGATGTGTTTGCAGATCCAAGAGAAGGGGCCGGTGCTGTGGTGTAGCGGGTAAAGCTGCCGCCTGCAGGGCCAGCATCCCATATGAGTGCTGGTTCGAGTCCCGGCTGCTCCACTTCTGATCCAGCTCTCTGCTATGGCCCATGTCCTTGGGACCATGCATCCGGTGGAAGACCTGGAAGAAGCTCCTGGCTCCTGGCTTCAAACCGGCTCAGCTCTGGCCATTTGGGGCATGAACCAGCGGATGGAAGACCTCTCTCTCTGCCTCTCTCTAACTCTGACTTTCAAGTAAATAAATAAAATCTTAAAAGAAAAAAAAAAAAAAAACGAGAATGTTCATGGGGCCGACAATGGGGCTGGCAGGGGCCAGAGACAGCAGGCAGCGAAGCTGGCCAGGGGTGCTGGGGCCAGCCCGGTTTCGTCCGGTTAAGCAAGATGATGAGAAAGTTTGGGCCCCATCAAAGAACGACGAACACGTGCTCAAGGTATTTAAGTAACCTCGGAGTTGGTTCGAGTTCGGAAGCTGGCTCGCCACCCACTTGGCAGGCCACAAGTAGATCACCCGGCTGCCAGAGAGCCTGCAGCCAGCCAGGCGCAGGGCGCCGACCAGGGCAGGAGCGCACCAGGTGACTCGTGTACTCGCCGAAGGCTTCAGTTAATTCTCTGAAGTGAGATTCCGCAAGGGCAGGCGTTCGGGCCCTGTAAATCTCAGCGAGGAAACTTTCGCTGTGGTGGTCGTCCTGAGCACCCCCCACCCACCCCGTCTGCGCAGCGGCCCCGGCGAGAGGAGGAGGAGGAAGAGCGCCTCTCCCATCACACAGCCGACCCGACCGGCGCCGTTACACCGGGCACTCAGGACGATCGCCCGTTAGGAATTGCGATTTTTAGGTTGACAGCCATTCGTAGGCGTCTTTGGCCTAACTGCAAAGTGTCACACAACATGGGCGCAGGATCCGCCTTCCTCCCTGCAGGGAAGCGCGAGTGCCTCTCCTGAAACATTGTTTAACACAGTTCTGCAAAGTGGGTGGCGGCTCAGCGGGGACCCCCGAGAGGGCCGCGGTCCCGGGTCGGGGGAGAGCTGGGGCGCCCCTTGGGCCCACAGGGCAGCCAGACACTCGCTCTGAGAAGCTGAGGCCGCAAACTCACTGCTGAGCCATGTCAGTGCCCCTGCCCAGGCTGCAAGCCCTCCGGGAACGCCCCTCAAGCCAACACCGGGAAAAGAAAAACTTATTTATTGATGTATTTATTTGCGAGACTCTGGCTAAACGCCGGTGCGCCTCGCAGTTCCCGCCGTAAAAGGAGATTCGGAACGTGATGGAACTCGGAACTCGGCCGCTCGGCGGCGGCGGCCGGAGGACCCGGCGCTGGGTGCGCTCGCGCCGGCCGCACTTCCGGAGGCCTCGGAGCGGCGTCAGCGGAACGGGCGGCTTCCGGCCGCGGCGTAAACAAGGGCCGCGGGCTCCCGGAGGCGGGGCGCACAGGCTGCGAGCGCGCGGCGGCCCGCGGGCGACCCCTCTGCGCCCTCTCGGGCTCCCGGGCTCGCCACCGGCCCTCGGCCGCGGCGGAGGGCGGCGCGCGCGCAGGCGGCCGGCAGGCCCGACCGCCGTCCCTTTGGCTGCCGCCGCCTTCTCCCTGCATCGCGCCGCTGCGCGGTTTTTTCCCCGTTCTCTTTGTCTCTTGCCCCTTCGCGGGTGTGGGCATTCTTGGCCAGCAGCGGGGCGGCCTCAAGATGGCTGAGGGCAACGAGGATCTGCGGGCGGACGACTTGCCAGGGCCGGCCTTCGAGGGCTACGAAGCCATGGAGCTCGCCTGCCCCGCTGAGCGCAGCGGCCACGTCGCCGTTAGCGACGGGCGCCACATGTTCGTGTGGGGCGGCTACAAGGTCAGTGAGTGGCCGGAGGCGCCGTCGTCGCCCGGCTGGCCCCGGGGGCCGGGCCGGGCCGAGGGGCCTCCTCCTCCGGCGGGCGGCGTCTGCCCGGGCTCCAGGGCCGTGGCCACGCCGACCTGAGGCTCCTTGTTGGGCGGTGGGTGACGCGAACCGCGTCGTGTTGGCAAGGGTTGGAGGGGCGTGAGATGGCTCAAGGCCCTTTATCAGGACCGCCTGAGGCCACTGTATGCCGTGGACACGGTTACCGTTGCCCACGTAGGGCGGTGGCCCCCGTGTAGCAAACTCCCCGTCGAATTCTGAGAGGTCACCCGAGTCGCGGGAGGAGACTGACCCAGCTGCACCTGTGCAGGTGGCCGTTTGCCTTCCGGCTTCCCTGAGAACGGGCTCAGGTGTTGCAGAAGGAACGCCAGTTAAGAAAATTAACGGAAAAGCTCCCCCTGGCAACCCCGCGGAGTCCCCAGCGACAGCTGCGACCGCGGGCGCCGCTCGGGGATGCCCTAAGGAGAACCGGCCTTGCCCGTCGGGAGCCGGTGCCGTTCTCCCCCCCGCCGGCTGGGGGCGCCAACCCGGGGGCCTCCCCTGGACACCGGCTCCCCACTAATGCCCTGTGGCCTCTAGAGCTTCCGCTCTGCGTTCTAGAATCGTCTCATTTCATTTGGCGATCCATTCCAGAATGCGTTATCCCCTTTTGGCCTTAAAAACTGCCCTCTCCGTGCCCCCGGTTGGTTGGAATCTCGGTCACCGCACCTGTGCCCGGGTACCGGTACGGCCGACCCGGTCTTAGCTGACCGTTTTTGGCAGGGCTGTCTCCATGCCTTCATTTGATGGGGCCACTAATTTTTTTTGCCAGTCTTAATTATTCATCTCCATGGTCTTCCCCAGCCTCCTGGGAAAAGGCGTTCCCAGGGTATTTAGTAGGGGTGTGGGGCTGCGGGAGGGAGGGGCCAGTGACTACTGAAATGTAGGTACTGCCTCGGGAGAACAGCAAACCTGTTGGACGATGAGTGGAAAGCGACTTGATACTGATTTGTAGACGTTAGCAGCATTGCGTTGAGAGAATGGCGCTTTGCTCTGGGGGGCGTGCTCGTGGTGGTGGAGGGCTTCCCATGGGTTTATGCCGGAGGCTGATGTGGGAGATGACGGCTGAGACCCTGAGCCGAGGCACAGGAAGCTCTTGCTGCACAGCCCCCAGTTTTCTGTCTACTCGGGGTCAGGCCACTGTCACTCCGGCGGCTCCCTGGATCTGCGAGGTGGAGATGTGTACACGGCCCCAGCGTACTGCTGAGTAACCTTGGGGAAATTGCTGCACCTCTCTGGAAAACCTGCTTGTTTGTATCAGCTACTTCCAGAGTTGTTGGTGAGGATTAAATAAGTCGTGTGGCCGGCACTCTGCCAGCATATGGTAAACTCAGTGTTAGAGCAGGGAGCCTGAGATCGTGCTTAGGGCTTAGATGCGGGATCTGCAGTTCAGCGCCTGTGTGTGTTAGTGAGGGGGGAGAGGAGCGGAGCGCGGGCCTGAAAGCCAGACCTGTGCGGCTGGCTGCAGGGCAGGCGCCTTCACCAGTCTGCAAACCATGGCACGAGGGCTCCCGAGGGCATACGGCGGACCGGGGCGCACGGGCCAGGTGGGATAAAGCAGCCTGAGACGCCCGAGAGCTTGTAACTTCAAGTAGTCTATCTAAAAGTTCAGAGCTGCCTCTAGGAAGTTGTGTGGCATGGGTCTGGGGCATTATGCCCTTATAATGATAAATATATACTGTAATTACTTTCACACACACTTGATCTTAGCCAAAAGGCCGAGAAGCGATGTAATTACTTTCATAACTAGTAACTTCATAATGACTGTCTCAAGTAGGAATTGATATGTTAAAGGTGTGCTGTTGCATATTTTTTCATTTTGTATATTTGCGATTTTTAAATTCTAGAGTAATCAAGTCAGAGGATTGTATGACTTCTATCTGCCTAGAGAAGAATTATGGATCTACAACATGGAAACCGGACGATGGTAACTATGGCTGTCATCAGGGGGATTAAAAAGTCAAATAAGGTCGCAAAGAAAAAAGCTGAAAGCGCATTCTAATGAACAAAAATATTTTAAGGACATTATCTGTATGATGCAAAAAATTTTGTGGAAAATGGAAATAAAACTTTATTTTGGTGGAAAAAAAATTGGAAGTCCATGCAGCTTTTTTCATGAGACTTTTCCATGCCATTCGGAGAAGTGTTGTAGTTCAGCTTGTGCTAAGCTTAGAGACACTTCAGCATTTCTTCACAGTTCAGTACTTTTGTAATCTTAGAAAAAGAATCTCAAGGTTCTCGAAGTAAACATCATGTAATGTAAGAGAGAGTCTTTAGATCCTAAAATAGAAGAATAAAGTTCCACATTTGTTTCAGTGTTACAAGTAGTGTGATGCATGGCATCTTAAAGAGGATTTTAGATAGTTTAGGATTTTATCTAAAAATAAAGGTAGTATTCGATTTTTTAAAAAAGATTTATTTATTTATTTGAAAGAGTTACACAGAGAGAGGAGAGGCAGAGAGAGAGAGAGGTCTTCCATCCAATGTTTCACTCCTCAGATGGCCGCTACGGCTGGAGCCGCGCCTATCTAAAGCCAGGAGCCAGGAGCTTCTTCCTGATCTCCCACGTGGATGCAGGGGCCCAAAGAGTTGGGCCATCTTCCACTGCTTTTCCAGGCCATAGCAGAGAGCTGGACAGGAAGTGGAGTAGCCAGGCTGGGTCTACGAATCAGCAACCATATGGGATGCTGGCGCTTCAGGCCAGGGCGTTAACCCGCAGCGCCACAGCGCTGGCCCCAGTAGTATTCGATTTTAATGAGCTCTTAAAACTGTATACCTAGCTCTTTAAAATATTTTTTTAAAAACCCAAAGAAACTTAAGTTTCCCTTTTATATAAACTTTGGATAATCTGAAAGGATTTTCTTTTCTTGTTAAAGGATTATTTGAAAGGCAGAGCATCAGGGAGGGAGAGCTCTTCCATCTGTTGGTTCACTCCCTAAATGGCCACAATGGCCAGGTCTGGACCCAGCTGAAGTCAGGAGCCAAGAGCTATTTCTGGGTCTCCCACACAGATAGCCAGGAGGTCCACACACTTGGGCCATCAAGGAAGCTGGATTGGAAGTGGAGCAGCTGGGACTTGAATCGGCAATTATGGGAGGCTGGTGCCGTAAGTGACGGCCCCTTGAGAGGATTTTCTGCCAGTGGGCGTGAAGAGCATGTCCTTGATGGAATTAGTGTTTTTTTCAAAATGCTGAGTTAGCTGTGTCCAGGGATTAGTTAAAGAAGTCATGCCCTGTGGCTTTGTGATTTAAATATTTCACTTATTGTACATCTCAAAACCAGAAGAATAGTCCCACTTGGTTTAAGAATTAAACTAGAAAGTGTCAGGATTATTTCTAAACAGCAAATCAATTTAGTATGAGCTTATTTGCTTGTCTTTGTCTAGAGATTTGAAATTTATGATATTCTTTTGATAGGATTCTACAATCCCTTTTAAAGTAAATAGTTCTTAAAAATAAGCCCACTGGGGGGTGAGGAGAAAAAACAAAATAAGCCCACCAAGACTTGAAGCCTAATAAGTGCTAGCAAAGCAGACAGGAGCACTGTTGATATCCCAAACCTTAGAGATCTTACGTCTGGATTAGGATTTATTTGGAGTTTGAGGAAGAGCTGATACAAAGTACTTGGAGGAGTGTTAGCACACGGGGAGCAAGCACTACCTGTGTGTGTGGGTGTGCGGGGGAGCCCAGCTGTAGTCAGTCCTCTTGATGTATTTTTTAATTTCTCCCCTTTTAGGAAACTTAATTACATTTAATTCCCCCCCTCAGGAAAAAAATTAACACTGAAGGTGATGTGCCTCCTTCTATGTCAGGAAGCTGTGCTGTGTGTGTAGACAGGGTGCTGTACTTGTTTGGAGGACACCATTCAAGAGGCAATACAAATAAGGTCAGTGTTTCTAAGGACCATGGTTAAGGACCGCAGTTTTATGTGTACTCTCTTTGAGACAACCTCAGATTTCTAAGGTTTGCCCTGTTAGTCCCAGTTTAGAAAATGTGTAGCTGATTATGCTATGAATGTATGTTTTAGTATTTTTGTCTACCCGTCTAGGCCTTGTGGAAACTTCTCGGTTTTTCCTTATGTTCTTTGCCGCTGCTTGTTCTTAGAGCCTCTAAGTGTTAGGTGAATATTAGTTAAAAAGAACACTACTAAGTGAAGACAAGATGTAACCATGGAAGGAAGGACACAGGTGAACAAACCACCACTCGCAAAGCCTTGAGGATAAATGAACACTGACAAAATTTTATATGTTGACATTGCTAGAATATAGTGACCTATGACACTGCCATTCAGATCATCACGAGTTTTGTTTTAGGCCAGGAAGAGACAGGTGAATCAGCCATTAAAGCTAGGGAAGATGGGTAGCTCCTAGCGGTTCATTTGGCAACTCAGTAAGCACCTTATGTGCTGAGCACCTGACTGGACATTGAGACAGAGGTGAGTGACGCTCCCTGCCTCCAGGAGCCTACTCTGTAGAAGGGAAACAGCATCTAAATGATTGCGGCAGCATCGCATGGAGATGCCCAGCCTAGCACACAGTAGTAACTCCTCAACTGTAGACAGAAAGCGTTCCTGACATTGTGTCAGGGAGGACAGGAGAGCAGAACGAGTCCTCACACGGGAGCTGATGCTGACACGGACAGTCAAGCTGGAAGGGGTGGCGAGGATGCAGGGATTAAAAGCTAAAACTTCTTGTTTACAGAAATGTCAGGTTGTTTCGTAGACAAAGGTAAGGCTGCGAATGTTTCAAACTCTGCTTCTGGGTGCTCTAGGATTTCCGAGATGCCCGATAGCCCGTGCGGGGAACGCCGGCCTGACGTGGCTCCAGACCTGCCGCCTCAGCTTTGACAAGCACAGCTGCACTTTCGTTTTTCTTTGAGATTTTGTTTAAGATTTTGTTTGAAGGAAGGATTCTGTGCCTAAAAGATTTTGTGAGGTACATCTGTAGTTGACCCATGTATTTTTCAGACCCAAAGGTGAGAAACAGTGTGAGGAAGTCTGGGAAGGAGAGAAGCTGTGGTTTTAGGGGATGATCACAAAATTATCATGGTTAGTATGTCAGTGGCTAGGGTTTAAAATTAAATGTTTCAATATATCTTACCTGGGTGTGACCTTTTGAAGGACAGACCAATATTTAATCTTTTTTTTTTTTTAAAGATTTATTTATTTATTTGAAAGTTGGAGTTAGAGGAGAGGCAGAGAAAGAGAGAGGTCTTCCATTCGCTGGTCACTTTGCAACGGCCGGAGCTGCGCCCATCCAAAGTCAGCAGCCAGGAGCTTCTCCTGGGTCTCCCACGTGGGTGCAGGGGCCCAAGGACTTGGGCCATCTCCTCCTGCTTTCCCAGGCCATAGCAGAGAGCTGGATCAGAAGTGGAACAGCTGGATCTCGAACCAGCGCCCAAATGGGATGCTGGTACTTCAGGCCACGGCATTAACCGGCTGTGCCACAGCACCAGCCCCAATATTTAATCTTTTAAGTATTGATTCTTAGCTCTTAGAGTTAAATTGGCAATGAAGATGTGTTTGTTAAACTGAACTTAAAGCTGCAAAACTTTTTTTTTTTTTTTGGTCGTCTTTGATGTCTTCTTGATAGCGTAAATAAGTCGCCATCTAAGGCAAGATAAGGAGCTTGTGACAGAAGGCAAATGAACACATCAGAAAGTGGAGGCTCTAGGGAAAAAAGCAGTCAAAGTAATGTGTGCTGAGTGAGCTAAGCCTCGAGTGTGTCACAGCTTCTTAATCCAGGCTCAGGCCAGTCTGCAGTCACATTTTCAGTAGCACTGACACAGATGATATTTTTAGCATGAATCGCAGAGAATCAGACACCAAAGTGGAATTTCTTTGACATATCAAATCTAACTGAAATCATTGCTTCTAACAGTTCTACATGCTGGATTCGAGATCTACAGACAGAGTGTTACAGTGGGAACGAATTGACTGCCAAGGAATCCCTCCATCATCAAAGGACAAGCTGGGCGTCTGGGTATATAAAAACAAGTGAGTTAGCAGCACTGCAGCTTCGGGGGCTCATGCCGGCAGGGGTTCACCATTCAAGTAGCCTTACCATTAGTTCTAAACACAGGACATACTTCAACAGCCTGTATGAGGATTAAGTAAATTAACACATAAAAGCATTTTACATAGCAGGTAGGACATACTTAAGCATTATTATTTGAATAAGCATTTTCATATACTCAGTGCCTTCTCAAATCATAGAATATAACAAAATAAGAGTAAGTATCCCTTGTGTCTTATCTGTGGGTATTTTAATTTTCATTGTCTTTTTTTTAATCAGATTAATATTTTTTGGAGGGTATGGCTATTTACCTGAAGATAAAGTATTGGGAACTTTTGAATTTGATGAAACATCTTTTTGGGTAAGTGAAGTTTCATATTTGCATATGATCTGCATAGAAGTATAATTTATGTTCATTCACAGTTTGCCTTTTTAGTATATCAGGTGGCTATATAATTGTATGAAGATTATTTGTAAAATAACTTAGAAATTTCTGTTTTCTGTAGAATTCAAGTCATCCAAGAGGATGGAATGATCATGTACACATCTTAGACACTGAAACGTTCACCTGGAGTCAGCCGGTCACTGCTGTGAGTTCTTGGTGAACAGTTATTACAGCAAGGACCCTACAGAGAAGTGGGGTTGGGGAGATGTTTAAGTTGACAGTTGTTTTCTGGCAAAAGGTGAGCTTTAGTCCTCACTGAAGGAATCAGAACTGAGAAAAGCTGGATGAATACAAAGACTGAGGCGGCTTCTACTGTCTAAGCAACCTCGCATTAGATTGCTGCCTAATACGCTAGAAAGAAACCGCTCTGCTTGTAACCAGCACATTTGTAACCCATCTCAAAGAAAGAAAATTTAAGTTTCCAGTCTTGGCAATCAGCTAAGCTGCTATTGGCCAGAGGTCTGTACTTGTGCCTTCTAAAGGAAAGCTGAACAATCTTTCATATTGTCACCCACATCCAGAGGAGACTTCTGGTGTTTTCCCTGTGTATGAAAGTCTGGTTATGAAGTGGCTCTACGATTTCTTCACAGGGTAAAGCACCTTCCCCTCGCGCTGCCCACGCCTGTGCAACAGTTGGGAACAAAGGCTTTGTGTTCGGAGGCAGATACCGAGTGAGTGCATAAACAGTTGCAGTGACTTGCTCCTGAGTTCTTCAAGATGTTAATGACTTAATTTTCTTTTTTAGGATGCCAGAATGAATGACCTTCACTACCTTAATCTGGATACATGGGAGTGGACTGAATTGTAGGTATCACTTCAGATAATTATACAGAAACTTGTTAAAAACTGCAGATCCTGCCCACCCCCCCGCCCCGCTTATTCCCTATTCTAGGTATACAATATACTTACTTAAATCTTCTATAACTAAGAATTTAATTTAAAAAATCATCACAAGGTCCTTAAGGAAGGGATTTTATTTTTTTATTTCCAGTTCCCATAACTACATGCCTGGCATGTAGCATGTGCTCAATGTTTATTGAAAAGAAAAGGTCTAAAGTTGACCCTGCCTTCAAAGAAAATAAAGCAGGTAGTTGTTAATACCAAGAAGCCTTTATAAAGTCTTTTTTTATGATAAATTTTAAAGGAAATCTTCAATATTTATATGAAACACAGTAGCTGCTCTTAAACACAGGGGTTGTAACCTGGCTGTTATTTTCAGAATTCCACAAGGCATATGCCCAGTTGGCCGATCGTGGCATTCACTAACACCAGTTTCTTCAGACCATCTTTTTCTCTTTGGAGGATTTACCACTGATAAACAGCCACTAAGTAAGTCCTTTAAAAATATGACAATGAAATCATTATACATATATTATCCATACACAGAAAGTAGCTGGAATCAGCCTATTTCATATGCATCAGCAGGCTGAAGGGTTGGCTGGAAGGTTTCTTATTTAATTTTGATCCTCTAACACGCATGCTTACCTAGTCAAATGCAGAGAAGTGCAAAAAAAAGTATTTTCACATCTACATATGACCTGATTTACTACCAAAGCTATGCCCCTTAAATGACAATCGTCTCTACAGGGTAATCCACTTCATAACTCTATCTGCTTTACTCAGGTGATGCCTGGACTTACTGCATCAGTAAAAATGAATGGATACAATTTAATCATCCCTATACTGAAAAACCAAGGTATGAAGTACTTGAAAGATAATTTTAATACTAAATTAATAAGGTCCATATGTGTGACTGCTAAAAATTGAAGACATTTTTGGATGTATAGATCATCATTCTTTTAAAAATCCTAGCATTCACTAAGGTTTATCTGTGTATGAAGAATAGAGCTGATTTTTATTTTTGCTTCTTCCTGTTATAAAATTCTTGGCATAAAATTTATAATCTGGTCCTTAACCTGAATGAGTTGAACTGTATCTTAAGATTTATCATTTAAAAAAAAAACAAACAAACTAGAAAGGGCAGAATATTTTTTTTTTTTTTTGACAGGCAGAGTGGACAGTGAGAGAGAGAGACAGAGAGAGAAAGGTCTTCCTTTTGCCGTTGGTTCACCCTCCAATGGCCGCCGCTGCAGCCGGCGCACCGCGCTGATCCGATGGCAGGAGCCAGGATCCAGGTGCTTTTCCTGGTCTCCCATGGGGTGCAGGGCCCAAGCACCTGGGCCATCCTCCACTGCACTCCCTGGCCATAGCAGAGAGCTGGCCTGGAAGAGGGGCAACCGGGACAGAATCCGGCGCCCCAACCGGGACTAGAACCCGGTGTGCCGGCGCCGCAAGGTGGAGGATTAGCCTATTGAGCCACGGCACCGGCTAGAAAGGGCAGAATTTTAAAAACCCTTAAAGAATGTACTCAGAGCCAAGGCCATGGCACAGCAGGTTAAACTGCCACCTGCAGCACCGCCAATCCCTTTGGAGTGCTGGTCCTGGCTGCTCCACTTCTCATCAGGCTCCCTGCTAATTCACCTGGGAAAGCAGTGGAAGATGGCCCAAGGGAGACCCAGATGACGCTCCTGGTGGATGGAAGCTCTGTCTCTCAATCTGCCTTCCAAATAAATAAACCTTTTTTTTTTTTCTAAGACAGCTAATTTTTTTAAAAGTTATTTAAGAGGCAGAGTTACAGACAGAGGGGTCTTTCATCCACTGGTTCACTCCCCAAATGGTCACAAAAACTGGAGCCTAGCCAGGCTAAAGCCAGGGGCAAGAAGCTTCTCTGCACGCGGGTGCAGGGACCCAGGCACTTGGGCTGTCCCCCACTGCTTTCCTAGATGTACTAGTAGGGGGCTGGATGAGAAGCAGAGCAGCTGGGACTCGAACCCAGGCCTATATGGGATGTTGGTGCTACAGGGGAAGGCCCGACTCACTACACCACAGTGCCAGCCCCATGAATTTTTTTTTAATTTAAGATTCATTTATTGAAAGGCAGAGTTACAGAGAGGCAGAGAGAGAGAGAGGTCTTCCATCTGCTGGTTCACTCCCCAAATGGCTGCAACAGCTGGAGTTGGGTCCATCCCAAGCTGGGAGCCAGGAGCCTCTTCCATATTGCCCACATAGGTGCAAGGGCCCAAGAACTTGGGCCATCTTCTGCTGCTTTCCCAGGCCATAGCAGAGAGCTGGATTGGAAGAGGAGCAGCTGGGACCTGAACCAGAGCCCATATGGGATGCCGGCATGCAGATGGTGGCTTTACCTGCTACACCACAGCGCTGGCCCCACTTTTTTATTTTAATAAATAAAATGTCCTCGGGGGGGGGGGGGGGGAATCAACAGCTACTGATTACATTTGCAGTAGCACTGTATAACAGATTAAGAAATTAAATAATCTAAAAAGGAGCCTGTTATGATTATATCTCATTAATCTACAAACTATTTGCTAGAGAATGTAGAGATTGGTGTTGAGAGCACATTTAGGTATGCTATCTTACATTCCTCTGCCCCCAAGCTTGCAACCCAAGTGTGGTCAACATCACTTAGACTTTATCTGGCCCAAGTCGTCTTTGCATGGAATTACCAGACTTTCCTTCAGAGACTTCCACAGTCTCCTCAGCTACAACTTTGAGCTTCTCAGTTGTTCTGCAGAGAGGCCACTGACACTTCCTAGGAAAGGAAGAGAGAGGGCTCATACCACTCAGTTCCTCTTAAGAGTTTCACGTCTGAAGACCTAGAGAGCAGATTGTTCAATTCACACCCCATAATGCACAAATGAGGACCAGACCAGAGGAAAAATAATATCCAGATGACGTAGACACCGATTTTTGTGGCGTTTGTTACTTAAAAGCTCTGGTTATAATTTCATCAGCTCTATTCTGTAATGTAAATGATAAACTTGGTGTTTTGGGTGACTTCAAACTCAAATTTCTCTTTAAATGAAGGTTATGGCATACAGCCTGTGCCAGCGATGAAGGAGAAGTGATTGTTTTTGGTGGCTGTGCCAACAACCTGCTTGTTCATCACAGAGCTGTAAGTGCACCACCCCTTTACAGTATTACTGAGACGTATTCATGAAGCACTTTTTAATGTGTTCTTCATACCTGCTTTTAGGCACACAGCAATGAAATACTTATATTCTCAGTTCAACCAAAATCTCTTGTACGGTAAGTAATTTTTTACTTAGCACTCAAGATTATTTTAAATTGTTTAACATGCTTGAAAGTCCAAGTTTATGGATTATGTAAAGGCAAGAATGAGTCTTCACTGACAGAACCAATCAGTTCCTATGAAAATCATTGGAAGAGGGGTGTTACTTCAGAGTTCTTCAAGTGAATGTACTTCTAAATAGTAAAGTGAAATATTTTCTCTTTCCTTGTCTACTTTCAGGCTAAGCTTAGAAGCAGTCATTTGTTTCAAAGAAATGTTAGCCAACGCGTGGAACTGTCTTCCAAAACACTTACTTCACAGTGTTAATCAGAGGTTCGGTAGTAACAACACTTCTGGATCTTAAGGCTTCATAGATAATGCCCATGATCATCTTGCATGGACAGCAACCTGCAATCGTCACCGAGTGGCATCGTTTGTATAATTATATGCAATTGTTGTAGTTTGCAGCTTTTTGATTTTAATGTGCATGTGAATGGCCTAGAGAACCTATTTTTGTGTCTAAAGTTTACAATAAATGTATTTAACACCAGTAACTATCCTCTATTAAAGCAAAAAAATTAATGCCTGGGATTCTTACCTCAAAGAATGATTAATTTTTAAAAAAAGATTAAAAAACTTAATGGCAACAGTAGTCTATTAGCCAAGCACAGTAAATACAACATAATGCACTTCTTTTTTTACATTTTCAAATGGAAAAATAAGCTAAAGTGGAGGGAGCAATAGCTGTTGAGTCTTTGGCCTCAGTGCTTTGGGGTGGGGGCTTGGGCAAGTAGTCATGTTGACATCAGGCAGGAAATTTCCAATCAATTGAAAAGTAACAGTTTTTTAGCTTATAAATGAATGGAATTAACATGTGACCTACTCTGTTAGGTGTTCAGTGGAAAGCCTGAAGTGTGCTTCTGATGACGTAGGTTACAATGCTCACGGTGTTCCTGGCGGTTATTGGAGGTGGAAAATAAAATGGAATAGAACTGGATGTGGTTACAAGGAAGAAACTAAGATTAAAAGGGAAGGAATAGAACTGCTGGGAAATGATAAGTACCAGTTTCTTCTAGGTATTAGGTAATCCTAAATGTATAACCATCCCCAACAGAAAAAAACTTGTGATTGGCCTGTGAATAATATATATCTATATTGGACATTATATACAATAGACTAGTGAAAGTCAATAGTTAATAGCAGTCAAGCCACTTCACTGTTTTTCTTTACATCATGAAATGAATACTTAGTATTAACCTCCAAAATTTTCAGAAAATGTATAGTAGCTACAGATGTATATAATTAGCATTTAACTATCCATAAATATCTTAGGAAATCTGATCATAGACAGTGTTTCCTCTGTATAAAATTGGAAAAATCAAGTCCTTTTGGCGACCATAGCAAGGCAGTTTTTAAATGTGGAAGTCCTGTCACATGGTGTTTTCATCTCTGAACTTCCAGAAGGCTATAAAATGAGCTCTTCACAAATATTTAGGATTTCATTCATGTCAGCTATTTCCTTTTCACATTCAGAAGATTGGGTGCAGACACCTTCACTTTGCCAGGAATGTTTCTTGATAAATCTGTGTCCTAAAAAAAGAAAATTGCTGAATATCTTCATAACCAGTGTGATCAACCATGTTTCTTTTGTAACAGTTACCCTCTGCTGTCAAAAGAAAGGTATTTGCTAGCTGCAATGAAAATGATTTCACTGCTTACAGGTAGCATTTTCTAACCCCTCCCCCCACTCAAAAATGCTGAGTTCTGAAGGAAAATTTTTTTACCTTTACGCTGCGGAATAAGTCTTTTTCTCTTGATGTTGCTTCTTTGGAATGCATGAAACTATTCAAGGCTGTTTTTGCAGCTGTAAATACAAAACAGAAAATCTACTTCTGTTCAGGCACTGAAATATTTAGAACTGAAATTCAGAAACAAAGTTTAAATACCTTTTCCCTTTTTCTGAACTCCAGGAGTAAGCTTCACTTTATATCTTTAAAAAGGAATTACATGTGTTAGTATGTAGACGTTAACAACAATTCATGAAAGTCACTGTGTCAACTGTATGTGTGAGCTACTGGTGACTCACTTGTAGTTTGTCATGGTGGTGTAAGGAGCACATATTGGAATGGCAAACAGTAGTACATCTTCAGGATGGGGTTGGCCTGTCAAAGAATCAAACAGATTTTCCTAAAAAGGGAAAATGGAAAAATTACAAAAGTAATTTATACTAGTCTCAATGCAAACTCTAAAATACTGTCAGAATATTAACACACTTGATCCTTTTCTGATACATGTATGGTCTAAATAGCCACACCAGTGCTTGAACTCTTCTGTATAGTTTCCAACAGTTGAAGACTTTTGTTTAAATATTCTTTACTAACAGTTTCTGCCTAACATAATGAATAATGAGAACAATAATTTTCAAAATAACACCTATAATTGTAAATTAGGAGAAAGAAAAGCCTTTGGTATTACTGAAGTTGCAAAATACTGTGGATTAAAATGATATACAGTAATGACAATACATTTAACTCTTACATGGAAACTGGTCTTTCACTAGACTTGTAGTTCCCAGGGGAGATTCTGCCTACCCATGCCTAAAGACAGTGGAATAATAAGGGGTTCAATTGGCATCTAGTGATTGGTGGCCAGGTAGGCTGCTAACCATTTTATAATGCACGAGAGAGCCCTCTCAACAGAAAATACCCATTTTATAAATGTTAATAGTGCCAAAGATGAGAAACCCTGGTTTAGAACAGTCTTCTATTAGGTGTTTTTAAGAGGAGATTCCAGGGCTTCTAGAGCTGTCATTTGTGCATAACTGTAAGACAACCCTATTCTATAACATGAATAAACTGAGGACACAAATGCTTCCTGCTAAACTGTAGTTGTCTGCCATGTGCCATTTTCAAGGTTCTTTAACGTCTATTATTGTAATTCTTGAAACAACTCTCCTGGTATCTCAATGGGGATAACAATTTTTATCCCCAGTCTTTCAAGCACAAGGAATGCTTCCCGTGTTTGCAGAGGTATATGTAGCAGCATTGGGATTTAAACCCCAGGAAGTTTGGCTCCAGAGCTTCAGCTTACCTTTTACATTTTAAATTAGAAGTTACACATCAACTATTGTGCAAACTACACTGTAGCAAGAAGATTAACAGTAGGAATCCCAACATAAATATCATACCTCATTCCCCTGTTGATCCAGATCTTGTTCTTCCTGTATGGGGTTGGGGGTGAAAGGGGGAGAAGTTATAAATTAAAATGAAGGGCCGGTCCTGCGGTTTAGTGAGTGAGGCTGCTGCCTAGCAGTGTGGGAATCCCATATGGGTGCTGGATCGAGTCCTGGCTGCACCACTTCCTATCTAGCTCTCTACTGCGGCCTGGGAAAGCAGCAGAAGATGGCCCAAGTCCTTGGGCCCCTGCACCCACGTGGGAGACCCAGAGGAAGCTCTTGGTTCATGGCTTCGGATGGGCGCAGCTCCAGCCATTGTAGCCCACTGGGGAGTGAACCAGTGGATGGAAGACCTCTCTCTCTCTCTCTCTAGCTCTGCCTTTCAAAGCTGGTATTTTAATTTATAAGTCCTTAAAATCTCAAAATGTCTCTAATAATTTTGCTTTGTATTCTGTTGGTAGAACACTTGGTCAACCAGGTTTACCAGGAAAACATTCACTTCTCACTGGTTTTGCAACCCAGGGTGTTGGCACTTGAACTGTATAATGACTTTCAAACTCTTTATGTCAGATAATACACCAGGCATTCCATTAGCAAAGTTTTTAAGAGAAATGAAAATTTATTTTCTGTTCATCTTGAAACAATGCTAGTCCTTTATTTTAATGGAGTTCTCATCAGAATTAAGCCTCTCCATAAAACTATCTCTGAAGGCTTACGCTTAAGCACTGCAATTTAGTCTTTCTAAAAAGACATTCCATTAGGAATCATTTTTAGCACTGTAAGTCCATGCCTCCGAACCCTGGGATGGAACCCTAATAAAGCAGACACATGTTGTAGCCTTACCTTGTCATCAGGTGGCTCATCCACAGCTAAGTCTTGTACCTCTTGAGCTACAACGTCGACAGGTGGAATTTCTTTCCTAACGCTGTCAGAAACCCTCTGTCCACCTCTGGATTTCTGGGGCTGTTTCTTCACAGGTTCGTCCTTTATTTTTCCTTTCTTCCCCTTCTTTCCTTTTTCTTCTTTGTTTGAGCCTGCAGACTTTTAGTCACAGAAGAAAAATCAGTTAATGTTTTCAGTATTCTCAGTGATTTCTGTTTAACAAAAACGTACCAAATGCCCATTAAATGCTAGGCAAGAGCAGGATGCCCACTGAAAAGCCAAGGAAGAGGTGCTTTTTAGCTGTCACTTACCCCCAGCAATTTCATGATAAGTTCACGATCTTCTTCATCCTGGTCTTTGTACTTTTCCTTCATCTTTTTCATTTTACTCTACAAAATCAGGATTCTGGTTAGGAAGTTCAGTAAAAATAACAAGCAAATATTTGTAAAACAAGGTGCCTTTTGAAGTGCTTATTGAAAAATATGGAGGCTACACAGATGGATAAACCACAGTCCTCATCCTGAGGAATTTACATGGTTAGAAGTAAGGATTAGTGAACGCAATATGTTAAATACAACAGGAAAGATGCAAACACATTACTTCTAAAATAGAGAACCTTACAGTTTAAGCAAGAACTGTGGGGAAGAAATAAAACTTATGAGTTTTCCTAGAATAAGTAAATTTTATAGTACTTAGGAAGATAAGCAAGAATACAAAGTAAAAACCAGAGAAAACATTAAGTCATCACATTTGGCTATGGCATCATGGTACAATACAGAGGAAAAAAAGTGAACACCGCGAAGTGCCATGCAGGCACGGAATTTTGTTATCAAAACCAATGACTGGGGGCCAGCACTGTGGCATAGCGGATAAAAAGCCGCCGCCTGCAGTGCTGGCATCCCATATGGACACCAGTTTGAGTCCCAGCTGCTCCACTTCCAATCAAGCTCTCTGCCTGGGAAAGTAGTGGAAGATGGCCCAAGTTCTTGGGCCCCTGCACCTGCATGGGAGACACGGAAGAAGCTCCTGACTCCAGATCTGTGCAACTCTGGCCGTTGTAGCCAACTAGGGAGTGAACCAGCGGATGGTAGACCTCTCTCTCGGCCTCTCCTCTCTGTGTAACTGACTTTCAAATAAATAAATCTTTGGGAAAAAAAAAAAACAAACCAGTGACTCAATATTCTTGTTACAGATTCCAATTGCCCTGGGGATTTCTAAAACTATAGACATTCAGGCCCTACCTTGAAGTTTTTGTTTTCATGAGTGGTATCAACAGGAGCCCAAACAGCAAATTTATAAAATTATGAATCTTTCTTGACATAAGCTAACTATAAAAGAAAGATACAACCAGACTTGATTAAATAAATGATACTCATTGAAAATATACTATTATAAAAATGGCTATATCTCTTACCATAGACAAATAAAAAATCAGCTCAAAACAGGTCAAACTTAAATTACAACCTGAAAACATGAAACTTACAGAAAACAGAAGAA